ACTGGATGCTCAGGGGACAGGATGGGCCCAAGACAGAGGGAAGGTCAGGGTGAAAGACTCCTCAAAATTCCACGGGAAGGCTCTCTGGTGCCTTCGCCAGGGGTCCCAGAAGCTAGTGGAGGGCTGTGCAGAAAGGCCATAGCTCCTGTCAGGTTCCCTCATGGGCTCATCCTCCTATGAGGGCTCAAGGCCAGATCCAAACATCTAACCTGGGCGGGAGCTAGGAGATTCAGGGCAGTGTGTGAGTGGCATCCTATACCAGGTGGAGAAGTCAGGGATAAAAGAGTACACTTACCAGGCACAATAACTTGGGGAACAAGTCCGCAAGGTCACTGTTAAAGATACATTTTAAAAAGCAAGGAGAGTTGGTGCCGGCCTGCCCCAGGGAAGCAAGCACACCTACACAGGAACCCAGCCAGGAGCGCCCCTCCTATGCCCCAGAGCCGCCACCCTTCAGGCACCTCCATCATGGACGCGTCCAGAGAAAGACCTAGTGGGCACTGTCTCCACAGCCCTCTCCCACTTTTCTTCCTCCTGGGAAGCGCCCAGACCCCCTTCCCCGTGGCAAAGACCCAGCAAGTGGAGGCCAGCCTCTCCCACGGGTGACCGACCGTTTGGAGAGGACAAGGCGTGTGGTCCTCCCAGCAAACCAGGGCTGCAATCTCCTGCCGATGGAGGCAACAGAGGGTACAACTGACCTTACGTTGGTGGGCTCATCTGGGAAGGTGGTGCCCAGAGGCTTTCTCTCTGCACACATCTCTCCTGGCGCCGGCTCTTTCGCCTTGTCCAACATCCCTTCACCCTGTGCCCGTAACTACGAGGAGGCCACGTGAATCCATGAGAAATCTAGGCAAATCCTGCAGCCCCCAGGGCCCCCCTCTCCCACAGATCACCTTACCTGTCCATTTTCATCACCCTACCTCCTTCTCTTCAGAGTTCTCTGGCTACTCTTCCTCACCTTAATTTTTGGTTACCTTTATCATTTTCCTGTCATTTGACTTCAGCTTTCTTTGCACATCCTGTGGCACACCGGAGGGGCTTTCAGAGATGGGTATCTGCAGAAAAGACAGGAGAGGCGGCTGAATATGTACCAGGACCTCTGAAAACCAATATCAAGTACAAACTACCCACTAGCCTACCCTCCTGCTCTTAGCTAACCCTGGCCGTGCTCAGACACGCACCCAAATCTCACCACTGAAATTCTTCAATGCAAACTCAATACTGGCATTTTTGACCCCCCCCCCAAAAAAAAGACTCACATTTTCTCATTGTGAAACTTCAATAAGAGGAGCAAGAGAAATATAGCATGAGACCAGAATCCATTCTGAGCCCAACCCTCCATCTGCCTTGTGCCTACTCGGTAGCCTCTCTGTCCCCCTCTTAGCTCAGGCGGAACAAAAGGGCCCTTACATTGGCTCTTGAACCAATCCACCTGCAAATTGTGATAGCTCCTATCAATCAGACTCTTGGAGCAAAATAGGGACATAAGAGGACATTGATGTGATGGAAATAAAGCTTGCAGACAGTCCTTTCTTCAGATCTTTTCTCAAGCTTTACAATTATTTAAAAATATAGACCAATGCCCATTATTTATACCTTTTAGAACAGATATGGGTTTCCTAAATACCCTTTCTGTACATTTGAACATTGAACAAGATAATCAAATTCAGGTTTGGAACATGATGCTCCTTTCATAAGGCTCCAGGCGATCCTATCTGCCTTTCTCTCTCCTCCAACTCTTCGATTTGAACCAAACTGAGCCATGCAGTGGGTCATTGCGTCATCTCTTTGAGAGCAGTTTAGACCTCTGTAGACAGCCTAGCCATCCTCTCCCCTTTATATTATGACTTTCGACCTACCCTTAGATGAGCTGAGGTTGCTAACATGTAGTAATAAGAAGTACAAATCATCAGCTTCCTAATAAAATTACAGCTCTTTTTGGACACCCCCTCCCCCAAATGTGTCTGCAATTTTCTTCAATCGGGCCTCTTGCTCAGGAGTCGGGGTCACCTTCACCACGTCTGAGATTCCATTCTGTCTACGGATGCACAGGACACTGAGGAAGACGTCCTCGTTTATGCCATAAAGTCCCTTAATCGTGGTGGAAATGGGATACAACTGCTTATATTCTGCCAAGTCTGCCACAGACAGCCCAATGGCCCAGGAAGTACAGCCTTTCAGTTTGATCCCCTCATAAGCCTTGTCCACCCTCTGTCTGTGGACCTCTTTCCACTGTTCCTTATCTTCCTCGGTGCCTTAAAGCAGGGTGCAGATTTTTCAGGGAGATACCAGCAATACCCACTCCACTCCAAGCAGGCACACTAGAGCCTCCATGCACCCCAAGGAGCTCTCCATGACAGCTTCATGAGTGGACTCCCAGCCTCTACCCCATTAGGCAAGGGAACCTCCCTGAATCCAGACTGCAACCACTTCCAGAAACTCGATTCTTGGGGAAGCCACAGTTTTCAAGCCACGGAGGTAAGGATGTCTACTGGATTAGCAACAAGCAACTTGCAGTTTGCGCTGTGCTTTACACAGCCCATAGCACCCAAATCTGCCATCTCCCCCATTCATCCTCGTCTGAGGACAAGCTTTCTTCACCCACTAAAGTGGACAGAAGGAGCTCTTGGACAAACAGGTTGTGGTCTGCGTGCTCGCCATCCACGAACTGGCGCTCCATCTCAGAGTTTCAGGACCATTCAGCATTATTAAAAGAAATGGGCAACTTTGGACCGCTTGCTGGCTGCTCTCTCCATTAAATGTGTTGGTTGTTGCTATGGATTGTGTGATTGTAGTGGCGACACTGCTTGGGCTAGTATGCTGAGTTGCGTTGGCTGCGGTCTCCAGTTGTTGCCATATTGCCTTGGCATGCTGCTGTGCAGCTGCAGCTGCAGCTGTTGTAACTGAGAAGCTGAAGGGCCACAAGAATTAAGCTGCCCTCCTGCAGAGCGGCTCACGCTTGATAGCTGAGATCAAAGCTCAGCCAGAGGATCCATGGCTTCCCTCTTGCTTGCCGAATATGAATGCGGAGAAGAAAGTCCACCAGTAGACCTGCCAGTAGAGCACGGGTTTGAAATAGGAGCGTGCGGACCTCCTAATCTCCAGCCAGCGCGAAACATTCCCCGTACATATTGAACAACATGTAATTCATCTAAATCTCTAGGGGCTCTGTGTTCAAGTGTAAAACGATCTGCAAAATCAGCTGTGACGTGATTAGTGTCGCCTCCAGGAAATGCTACACATATTGAACGAATCGCTTCTGTTGTTGTTTCTGTGCATTCACAAGTAACGGGTTCTTGAAACAATGTCTCCATGTAGCCCATTTTCCCACAATGAGGACAAGTGAAAACCTGTGGCTGCTCTACAGAGGAAGCTTCCCCGCCCTAGTACAAATCACAGTCTCCCCTCGTTAACATGCCCTGCAT